TTACGTTGAGTGCGTGCCCTCATTTCAGAATGACTTGATGCTGGAAAGTTTACTGGAGTAAACTCTTACAAACTGCACTTTGATATAGTTCAGGATAAACTGATGTCTGATTTTATTCTTTTCAGCTGCTACCTTTATCATCACATGTCCATCAGCTGGTTGCCATGGCAATGTTAGGAGCAGCATCCCATCTGATTCAAATTCATAAAAACTTGATGTCAAGCTGCTGCTGCTGAGATATCACAGGGTTTTTGTTTTTTTTGTGACCCGGGTCCTTCGTGCAAACATCTGGGAAGTTGTTGGTGTGGCAATTTGGTAGATCAAAACTATTTATTGGATTTATTGAAGAATATTTTTTTCATTGCACCTTTATTTATACAGGTTAGTCTCGTTGAGTCACGAGGACTCAGTTACAAGAGAGACCTGCTAATCAAAACCACAGACAACAATAAACAGCCATAGAATGCGTATAAAATAAAAAGTAAATAAAAGTAGTAATAAAAGCAGCTACATTATGAATTGAGGTAAAATATTAAAAACAGGAACACGTCTGCATTGATTTTTACATTAAACTTGTTGTTTAAAATCTCTGAGAGGTCAAAGTTGACAACTTCAGATCTTCCAGGAAACGGGAGCGAAGTAAGAAAATACCTTTTTTCCAAATTCAGTCCGCACAGATGGGACGCTGCAGGTAATGATGTCCTGAGAGCGCACGCTGTAACTGCACTGACAACGTGACATGTAGGAGGAGATGTATGAAGGCAGCAGACCAAGAAGTGATTTAAAGATGAAAATGTACCAGTGAGAGAGTCTGCGTGAAGCTAACTGCAGTCCTGCTCACCAACAGGTCGAAAAGTCTCGTTTGAGCTGAAGATACACTGTTCTTGTGTCTTTGTAGAAACTTAATAAATCAATTAAACATGTATAAACATGTCTGTCTGTTAGCAAAATATCTCCTAAATCTGCTAATATCTGATGTGGTAGTAGCTGAGAGTCATTCCCAGCACATGCTCTGACTGTGAAGTTATTACATGATGTTACTTTCAGCGTTTGACCCAACCTGCTGCTGTCACTGTCGTTTCTCAACGTGAGATGATCCCGGTGTAAAACTCTGGGATGGCAGCGGGCGATATGCATTCCTTCAACGAATGCTAGGCCTTTAAATTTACGGGAGATAATGTCTGTTTGAGATTTTTCTTCTTAGAGGTTTATAAATGAGATCAGTCAGGACAATTCCAGGAGTCCTCACCTCTCAGCTCATGGTTGTGGAGGAAAAAAGTAATTTTCATATTTGATAAGATAAAACTTTATTGATCCTGCAGGAAATTGTTGTGCCAGAGTTTCAGTACAAAGGAACAAACACAAGGAATCACACAAGAGACGTAAAAAATAACAGAGCATTTCAGGTCTCTCCTGTAAATGAGTCCCCGAGGCTCAGTGGGTTAACCTAAATATATAAAAGTTGAATGAATATAAAAAAAATAACAAAGAATATAAAAATAACAACGATTGAGTTCTAAACAGGTGCAGACAGAAACATTAAAGAGTTTATTGTGGTGCAGGATTAATTTTATTGTCCTCTGTGCAGAAAGGGGGAGGAGTTGAAAAGTTTGAAGGACTTCCTGTGTTGTTCTGTGGAGCACCTCGGTGGTCTCAGTCTACGACTGAAGGTGCTGCGGTGAGTCCAGGGTGTCATGCGGGGGGGGGGTGACATGTTGTTCAGGATCTGGAGCAGGTTCCTCTGCTCAGACTCCTCTGTCAGAGGCTGCAGCTCCACTCCCAGAACTGAACCAGCTCTCTTCATGACTTTATAGAGTCTGCTGGCATCAGCTTGCTTCACCTGCTGCCCCAACACCACAGCGTAGAAGATGCTGGAGACCACCGAGTGGTAGAACATCTGCAGCATGGCCCTGCAAGTTGCACCAAAACACGACTTCACTAAAGTTTCTGAGCAAACACGGACAGACTTCCCGCAGTGGGCGGTGCACTAGTATTAATGCGTTTCTCCTGACTGTCAGATCTGATGTCATATTGTTCAACTTTCAGACGTTAAACCTCCACAAGCAGCTCCATAGAAACTGCAGCGTCTGCACATATCAGCAGTTAGTGAACGTGGAATGCCTCGGGTAGAAGAGCTAATGATGGCACGAGAGAAAAATACAGCTCTTTCCATATTTCTTGCTTCAGATTGTGGCAGCAGAATGTTTTTGGACTTTTCCTGCAGACGGTAAGACCGAGAGGGAACCGTCATCTCTGACTTTAATATTTAAGTCACGTTGATTCTCATCAGCAGTTTGTTGCCATCAGTGGCCAAACCTTCGTGAGAAACGGTTTAATCAGTTTATTTCTGCAAGAAAACGAGAGCCGGAGAGCAGGAGGCAATAAATCTAGTAGGACAAAACACAACTATGTATTTTAAAATGAAAAAGTTTTTCTCATTTAGAAATGTGCTCAGTAAAGCGCAGCACTTTGCCTTTTTACTTTGATTTCTGAAAATAGAGGAGTTTTTCTGATGTAAGAATCTGTCAAAAGAGCTCGACCCCGTCATGACTGAAAGTGTTCAGGCAAAGAAAAGGTGGAGCGTGAAGACGAGCTGAAAAAAGAATAACTCCACCTTCGGTGCATCAGCGTCAAGACAACAGGTAGAAGTTTTTCTGCTGCGACTGTTCGTACCCCCCACCAGGCGTTGCACAGTTAGCTTGTTCTCCATGCGTCTGGTCCCACCACGACTCGCGTGGACTCCGCTCAGGTCCACACGACCTCTGCTGCTGATGAGTCGCCTCGACGTGGGCCGGACCGTCGTAGCTCCACCGCCCTAAACCTCTGCGTGTTTTTTCTATCCTACACAACAGAGCAAAGTCACAAAACATTTACCGTCCTCTGCCACGGTTTCTGGGCCGAGGCCACCTTCCCTCCTCCGGTCAGAGTCTGTAAATCAAGTCCATTTGTTCTGGATTCTGTCGTCAGCCAACAAGAACAGCAACGTCTGCGACGCCTCGTAGTTCCACAGTGTCGGTTTTCATGTTGCCATTTTAATGAATTGTTTTTATATTTAACTATGTAACACACTCTGTGGTTGCAAGGTTTTAAAAATGGTGGGTTTGGTTCTCGTGGAGGAGACTCATGATTGACGTCTCTCTCTGACCAATCAGTGACCTGCAGTCTGCTGACGTCCAGCCTTCAGCTCGATTGGATTCACCAGGAACCTCAGCCCCAAGAGCTGAGCTGGAAGCAGGTGGGACCACCTAATGGAAAGGCTTTTTACCTACGCTGAGCTGAGAAGATTAATCTGTGGGGGTCAAGGCCACCATTGGCCCCCCTGGACAAGAAAAAGAAATTCCCTCTGTTCTTCTCAGTGTAGCTCCTCCCCACTCGAATGTCTTGCGCCAAAAACATTTAGGTTTACTTCGTTCTCTGTTCAGTTCCAGTCCAGGAAAACAGTCGTCGACGGAGGTTATCGGTGTACGGCTTGTTTAACCGTCAATGTGTTGAACTTTTGAGTGAAATGTTTCGTCCTCAAAGATGTGATTTTATCACTTTTGATGTTTCACTTCGAGTGAAGCAAACAGAATTGGTTAAAAACAGCGAGGTGTCTGTGCAGCTCTGTGGATTCGGAGGGTTGAGAATTCATGAGTCTGAAATATTTCTTTTGTTTGCAGGAGAACAAAACCTGTTTGAAGCAGGTTGGGGGTTTTCAACCTTTGTTCAAAGCTAATAAAAGTGGTTGTTTTTAATAATGACTCAATGCATTACAGCCAGAGGAAAGAACCCCCCCCCCCCCCCCCCCCAGGACATTTTATATTTATTTTATAACGAGGTGAGAGCAGCTGCAGACTTGATTGAAGAACCAGACGACCCGTCGTTCTGTTTCCACTCTCCATGTTTAAATTGTATTAATTCAGTGAGGAAGTTTCCCAGAATGCCTCTCTCCCTTGAAACCATGAGCGAACGGAGCGGAGCTGATTCCTCAGAACCGTTTTATTTTTCTCAGGTTTTAAATAATGTGACGTAAAGTGAGCACCTGTTCTGCTGCGCTGCGTCAGGGCAGGTTGGTCTCTCATGGTTCTCAGCTCTTCGTTCTAAAACCAGTTTAAAGATGAGCTGAGCCCGCTGCTGTCTCAGAAGGTGTCCATCTCATCTTTCAACAGATTCAGAACCAGAACTCTCTTTACTGGGTTTCTGTGTTGGTCTCTCTCGTGGTTGTAGAGAAGTTCTGGACTCTGACTGGACCACTGCAGAACCCCTTTTTGACCCATTCTGTTTGGGATCATAGTCCTGTTGGATCCAGTTTGGTCCAAGTTGCAGTTGTTGGACTCCAGAACCCTTTGGTCCAGATGAGTTCCTGATCTACTCAGTGACTCACAGGAGCCCAAACCATCAGCCTTCCACCACCGTGCTGACAGCTGGGAGGAGCTGTCTGCTGCACTGCATTCTGGGTAAACAGCCATCTGTTTGTTGTTCAGACACCTTGTGCTTCATTTGGATGAAACTTTACAAACTGAAGTCAGTTTGAACGTTCTGGCTGAATCTTTTACATTTTAGGACTTACTTGAAAGTTTTGAGAGTATTTATTAAATTTTGATCGTGAAGTTGTTTCTGTCTGGTGATCAGAGAGATGTTTGTGCTGTTGAAATCTGGATGAAGTCCTGAAACACGTCCGTCTCTGTCCTCTCGTGTCCCTCTGCTCTGAAACCGTCTGCTAAAACTCGCAGGAAGACAAACATCCCGTGTGTCGTTCCTGAACCGCACGTGTTTGTAACGTTCGTGCTCGTTCTGTGTGAGGATGATAAAACACCTAATTAACCCTCATTTACACTAACGAGCCCTGACCACTGACCTGGATCTCCTCTGTCCTTCAGCTCGGGTTGAATGGGTTTCTGTTTGTGTGCCTGTGGGAGCTGCAGAGCTTTAGAGATGCTTTTAGTTTGTTGCTCCGTTCTTTGCTGTGAGATGCTTCAAACCAGCGTCAGAAGTAAAAGCTTTCGTCTGTTTCTGTCTGCAGCCCGTCGGTGAGCAGGAGCTCCATGTGGATCCAGGGTTGAAGAAGGAGCATCTGAGACCGTGAGTCCTTCTCCTTTGTCTTTCTGGTTGAACGCAGTAGCTGAAGGCTCATTCAGACGCCTCAGTATAAGGCTTGACTCTATACACAGATCGTATGTGAACGAGAACAATGACTTCAGGAAGATTTAACAATGTTTGTTTACAAAAGTGAACAATAAAAATAAACTGTGCTGGATCTGTAGACCTGGACAGGATCCCTGGAGAGTAGGGAACAGCGTTCATGAGAAGCTCCTGTGGGAGGTTAGTCTTGATGTTGGGTTTCTTTAAGCAGGAAGCTTTTGATGCAGGTGAAGTCCAAAAGGTTCCAAAAAGAACCTGGTCAAGTGGTTGAAGGTGGAAACAGCTGAATAGACCACAAGGAGACTCAGGAGGATCACAGGAGTCAAGCTACAACAAGAGATCAAGATTAGTTTTTCACAGAACACTTAAGAACAATGTAAAGGTCAGGAACACAATGTAAAGGTCAGGAATACAATATAAAGGTCAGGAACACAATGTAAAGGTCAGGAACACGACTACCGAAAGACAGATAATGCACCAGCGTCGGAGAGCAGTCATCAGCTGCCTTAAGTAGTGCTTGCAGCTCATCAGGTGAATGGTCCTCAGGTGTGGATCTGTTGGTGCCCTCTGGTGCAGACGAGCTGCAAAGGAAAATGCAGGAACTCTTACACTCAGGTAGAGCTGTAATTTCTAACCTGAACCTGGAGCCCAGCCCCGCCCGACCCGGATTAGGGCCAGGCTGGACCATAACAATGTGCTTAATTTGCGGGCCTGGTCGGTGTCGGGCTTTGGATTGTGTCAGTGGACCTGCGCGACTGATGATCCAATTATATGGCAACATGGCTTGCCATACAATCACCAGCCGCACGCGGCCATTTGACTGTGCACTGACCAAACTTGAAAAAGGTAAAAAGTTCAACAGATGTGCGCGGCCGATGACCCAAACAGGTGAGATCACAAAGCAGACATGTCAGAGCAGGGTCCATGTCTGAATAATGCAGAATGCAGGGGTGTAATGCGCTTTGACGGCCATGAAAGGACAAACACCGCCTCAGCTCCGACCTTCTGCCCCTTTTATTCAGCCTCATGCATCCACCGACTGTTAATAACTATATAAGCAGTCAAAGCTGAATTAAAAATGTCGTGGGGGGGATGGGGGGTTCGGGTTCAGACCTGTAATTGCTGTTAATTCGTTCGATCGGGTGGGGTTCGGAAATGATGGCTACGGGCTGGGGCCGGGTCGGATTTTTTTGGACCCGAATGCAACTTTACACTCATTCCAGGACTGACACGTCTTCTCCCAGCCTCGATCCATTCAGAAGACACGGGGGGGGGGGGGGGGGGGGGGTATGGGAGGGCACCTTTGTGGTGCCTTTTGACCTCTGAGCGAGGTCATACCAGGTGTGTAACTGTCGACACCTGAAAAGGCGGCCCAGGTTTGCAGCTCCGACTGATTAGAATAATGTGGCAAAGTGCTGACGGACGTTTTCGGCGACCACCCAGCCGCCGGATTTAAAGGGCAAAACACCGTAGCTGGACTCCTTTTGGATTTGAACATCCGGTGTGTTTTTTCTCTTTCTCAAACAAGCAATTTTTTGTTGCCTTGCATTCAACAACAGCAAACTGAGGTGAATCTGAAATCCTTGAGCTCCTTGCTCTACGTGCAGATGATGAAATGCTGCAACTTTCATTTAACACAACATAAAGACAATCGCTGCGTCACGTCTGTTCGCCGAGCCTTCAGACACGTTATGATAAAAATGTCCCACGTGGAGCAACACGTCAGAGCAGATGTTTGTCCACGCCTCCTTTTGGATTCTGAAACTCGTCTGAGCGCAGGAAGCGAGCGGCTCCCTCGGCGACGTATGAGCTGGAAACATGCACGGAGCTGTCCTCTGAAAGAGCCTCGAGTCGGACCGAAGCATGCAGACGAGCAGCAGAGGTGCTGCAGCTGTAGACGACGGGGCATTTGAGCCTTTTCCTGCTTTCTTCTTGTGATTTGTTTCAGTTTTCAGGTCAGAAGCAGACCCAACTCTGAGAGAATGAAAGAGATTGAAGTAATGAGATAAATCTTCAACAAACACGTAGCAACACGCACGTGTGCTGATGACCAGTGACCATGAGTAAAAGGGCTTAAAGCTCTAACGCAATGCATTCTGGGTAAAAGCTACAAAGATTTGTGTGTGTGATTTTTATGTCTGAGTTGTTGTCCATGAGTGGTGATGGTGATTCATGGGTGTGTGCAGCATTTTATATTCTGACTTTATGGACGTTGACAGGTCGTGTTGGAAGATTTAAACATATTTAAAGATCATGTCACATCTCTGATTCAGCTCCTCTGGCCCTCAGCCTTCTTGTTATCCTGTCAGAAATCCAGAAAGAAGCTGGAGCTACCTTCATTGTGTTTCTGTGTCTCTCTCGACATGAGTCACCCACCAGCTCTCATATTTGACCTTCTGTGTCATCATCACCTCAGTTTTTTTCTGTCAGGCCAGACGTTTAATTTGGCTGGAGTTATACTCCATGAAAAGTGAAGGCATCTATTCTCGCTGATCTAGTTGTAAGACTATTAGGGTTTTAGGTGGACTCATGGATGCAGACTGACACAATGAGCTCATAAAATATAACTTATTTCATAATAAAACAAAAAGGCTGACATGACAACAAAAACCAAACTGAGGATCAGCACAAGGAGACACGGGGGAAACCAGATGTGGAATGAGACATGTATAATGCTGAACTGGGGAACAAGTGGGGATTGAACGGCTAAAGGAACAGGACTGATGGACAGAGTAGAGACACCTGTGGCAAAGTGACAGCCAGGAACAGGTGAGAGTGGGTGGGGCAAGAGCTAAAGGAGCAAAACTGACTGAATGAGAGGCGGCACAGAAGAAATGCAAAAGAACAAAATACAGAAAAAATAACCACAAAGAGTAAATAGAACCAACAATGCACACAAAAGATTATTATTAATATTATTATTATTATTATTATTATTATTAGACCTTTATTTATTCAGGTTAGTTCCCATTGAGCCTTGAAGACTCATTTACCAGAGAGATCTGTTACATACAACATACATGCAGATGAGAAAAAGAGAATACGAGGATGGAGGAAGCCAAAAAAAATTCATGTCTCACACCGTGTCCTGCCCAGGAAACCGTGTGAAAGATGAAAAAAAAAAGACCTCGCAACATACAATGACATCATAACACATTTATGCATAGAGGTCGACAAAGACAGTGAGTCGTCCATAAACACTCCAGAAAGTTCCAAAGTTCTGATAAGATGGTACAGTGTCTGTCATCAGCGTCATGGTTCTGATAAGGCCACAGATGTCCTCGGGGGGGCAGGCAGAGCTTCTAGTTACGTATCCTCCAGGAGCAATTTGAGATCAAGTTGGCCGGTCCAAGGCCAGCGGGGAGGCCAAATTCAGATAAACACCAATTGTTTGGGCCGTCAGACTCTGATTTCTGTCTGACTTCAAGTTCTGCTGGTTCACTCAATGGTGAATCCAAACAGACAGATTTATGGAGATTCCACCCAGTTTGTGCTCGATTTAGCTTTTTCCAAGACTGAATCCTTCATGCTGGTGAGTTCCAGGAGCTGCAAGTGGCCTACGATTCTCAGAATCACGTCCGGCTTGTGGTTGAGCTCAGTAATCATGTGAGTATGAGAGCTCGAGGCACGGATTGATCCTTCACATAAGGCTGGCAGCTTTACCGTGGCCGAAACTGCAGCTGACGTCTTCCTAATTTGTTGCTATCCAAGGTATCCGCCAAATCCAAAAAGTAGAAACCCTGTTATCATAAATCCAATAATGTACACATCTTCTTCGTCCTCCACAGACAGCACAGATAGGCACATCATCTTCCACTCACTCCAGGGATCAATGACATACCCAGCCGCATGGGTCCGTTCAGGGCATGAGGGCTCTCCAGCACCCTGTCGTCTGGTGGAAAAAAAAATCAATTGGTTGAGGGACCAGCTGACCAAATCTATAATAATTTTCGATTCAGAAGATATGTAAAGAGAGGCTCTGAGGTTGACAGGACGAGAGCAAAATAAAGCTGGAGGGAGTGTAAGAGCGACCGTCTTGGTTGAAGGCGGAAGAGAGAAATGACTGATGATGATATTAAAACACAGATCCTGACAGAGATGCTTTTTTCTGCATGGGCATTTTATACTCAACAAAAAACTTCTGCAGAACTTCTGGGAAGCCCCCCATGACACAACAATGAAAAGGATTTCTTTCCATTGAGATCTCCACTCCTCCATTCCCATAAATTTGTCTAAAAGAAACCACCACTTTTTTCTTTTGAGCACAGAAATCTCCTTTCTTGAATTCTTCTTCAGTTGACTGTCTTTGAATCAAGCCCCTGAGAGAACAAAGTTCTGCCAGACCTCGTGATGACTTATATCCAACCATCACTGTGCGGTAGACGGGGGACATCCCCCGGACAGGTCTCCAGTCCATCACAGGGACACATAGAGACAAACAAGACAAACAGCCGTTCACTCTAGGGACAATTTAGAGTTACCAATCAGCCGAACATGCATGTTTTTTTTTGCATCAAAATAACACAACTCTGACCAGTCAAATATATGAACTTTCATTTCTTTATTCAAACAGAAGCTTTAAAAACTGAACGTTAAACTTGAGCTCTTGTTTTATTGCACCTTTGTTTCATAAGGATGTTTGTTTTGTCCTTACAGAGGTTTTTTACTGGACTGGACATTTTATTGAAAACCAGCAGCTGCTGTGAACGCGGCTGACTGGACAGGTTTATAAAGACACACATCTGTGTTAGAAACACCGAGGAGTCAAAGGAGATATAATGTCATTTTGGAGGAAGCTGAGGTGAGTGGCTCCGGCCTGGGTTCACAGAACCAGCAGCAGCAGAGTTGTAAGAGCTGAAGCCAAGGTAAACAAACAAACAAACAAACAAACAGGATTCACGTCCGAGCAAATATTCTGCTGAAGAATGAATCAACGTTCA